TGTGTGTGTGTGTGTGTGCGCCTGTACCCCTCCCTGCGTGGTGAAGCATGTGTATGAGAGAGTGTGTGTGTGCGCGCCTGTACCTCTCCCTGTGTGGTGAAGCGTGTGTGTGTGCGTGTGTGTGCGCGCACCTGTACCTTTCCCTGCGTGGTGAAGCATGTGTGTGTGTGTGTGTGCGCGCCTGTACCTCTCTGCATGAAGCATGTGTGTGTGTGTGTGTGTGTGTGTGCTCCTGTACCTCTCCCTGCGTGGTGAAGCCATCAGATTGTGTGCTTACTGGTCCCAGTTGTTGAGTCGGATGAGGGTGAGCTCAGAGATTCTGTGGTCATTTCCTGTGCCGTGCTTCTGAGACATTGAGATGATGCGCCAGCCGAGCAGGGCGGGGTGGGACCCCTTCCACTGAGCTCCCGTGGATGATGAGCACCACCTAGGAGCTACCTGGGGGCAGGGCAGGGGCTGAATCCCACTGGGGTGACTATTCTCACATGACGCGAGTCCAGGGCACGCATGGTGGCTCCTCTGTGTCTTAGGCCAGCTGCTTCTGTCTCTCCTCTGTGGCCTGGAGCAGCCCGCTGTCTCCTGGTCATGAGCTGGCCTGTGGGCACCAGCACCACTCTTCTCCCTGCAGGAAGAGCAGGCTCCATCCTTCTTTTAAGGCACCCCCCCTCCCCGCCACAACTTCTGTTTTCCTCTCATTGGGCAGAATCGTGTCATGTGGCTGCCCAGTTGCAAGGGAGCCCTGGAAGGGGGGTTTTGCAGTGGGTGCGTGGGCCCTGTCCAGCAGACCTGGCTGCTTGTGATAATGCCGTCAGTGATCCTGCTGTCACTTTGGACTTTCTTACATTGCTGATTTGGCTAACACTGCCAGAATGGTCTTGATTCTGGGATATGTGAGCCTGAAGTTACCAGTGTAAAGTGGCACCTAATATATGTTTTGACCAAATGTGCATTTGTTACATTTGTTAAAAAAAAACAAAACAAGGTTTGGTCAGAGCTCAATGTCACCACCTTTGGGTGAATTTACATGATATAAGAATACACCTGAGATTTCGTTTAAAAAATTCTCGCAGTTTCATCATTACGTACTTTAATGGGAAAATCTGCTATTCACAGTGCAAGGCCAGTATGCTCCCTGTTGCAGCTGCCTGTGAGGCGGCTCTCTCAAGGGACGTTGACGTGTGTGCCACCTCTAGTGTGGTCAGGCAGGAGCAAGACGTCCATGGCCAGCTCCAATGGTGACGTCGCCTGCACGCCCCTGAGCTAAGCAGGAGCAGTTGTATTGGAGGCGTGTGGGTGACGAGAGAGGTTAACAGCTGCTTTTTGTGTGAAATTGGAGACAAATGAGGACCAGCCATTCTGCCCACATGGGTGTGTACGATCGTGTGCATGATAGCTGATGTGCACAGTGGTCATAAGTGTGCACAGTGTTGGTGTGTATGCGTAGTAGCTGTGGGTGTGCATGGTGCTGGGTGTGCACAGTGGTTGTGGGTGTGCACTGTGGTAGATGTGCACAGTGTCTGGGTGTGCAAAGTGGCCATGGTGTGCACAGTGGCTGTGGGTGTGCATGGTTTCTGTGGGTGTGCTGCACAGTGGGTGTGCACAGTGGCCATGGTGTGCACAGTGGCTGTGGGTGTGCTGCACAGTGGGTGTGCACAGTGGCCATGGGTGTGCATGGTAGTGGGTGTGCATGGTACTAGGCGTGCACAGTGTCTGTGGGTGTGCACTGTGGTAGGTGTGCACAGTGGGTGTGCAGTGTTTGTGCACAGTGACCATGGTGTGCATAATGGCTGTGGGTGTGCTGCACAGTGTGCACAGTGGCCATCGGTGTGCACGGTAGTGGGTATGCATGGTGCTGGGCATGCAGTGTCTGCAGGTGTGAATTGTGGTAGGCGTGTACAGTGTCTGGGTGTGCACAGTGACCATTGGTGTGCACAGTGGCTGTGGGTGTGCACCATGGCTGTGGGTGTGCATAGTGGCTGTGGGTGTGCATGGTGTGCTGCACAGTGGGTGTGCAGCGTCTGGGTGTGCACAGTGTCAGTGTGCATGGTGGGCATGCATAGTGGATGTGCACACTGTGGGCATGCACAGTGGTGGATGGGCACAGTGGCCATGGGTGTGCATGGTGCTGCGCGTGTGGTGACTGGGTGTGCACAGTGTCTGGGTGTGCACAGTGGCCGTGGGTGTGCACAGTGGGTGTGCTGCACAGTGGGTGTGCATAGTGGCTGTGGGTGTACACCGTGGTAGGTGTGCAGTGTCTGGGTATGCACAGTGATAGGTGTGCACTGTGGGTGTGCACAGTGGCTGTGGGTGTGCACAGTGGGTGTGCTGCACAGTGGGTGTGCATAGTGGCTGTGGGTGTACACCGTGGTAGGTGTGCAGTGTCGGTGCACACAGTGATAGGCGTGCACAGTGTCTGGGTGTGCCCAGTGTCTGGGTGTGCCCAGTGGGTGTGCTGCACAGTGGGTGTGCATAGTGGCTGTGGGTGTACACTGTGGTAGGTGTGCAGTGTCTGGGTATGCACAGTGATAGGTGTGCACAATGGGTGTGCACAGTGGCCATGGGTGTGCACATTGGTGGGCGTGCACAGGTGTGCATAGTGTCTGTGGGTGGGCATGGTAGTGGGTGTGCTGCACAGTGTGGGTGTGTGCAGTGGCAGATGTGCACCATGGTGGGTGTGTAGTCTGTGGGTGTACACTATGGTAGGTGTGCACAGTGGGTGTGCACATTGGCCATGGGTGCGCAAAGTGGCTGTGGGCATGCATAATGGTGGGTGTGCATAGTGGTGGGCGTGCATGGTGTCTGTGGGTGTGATAGTGGTGGGTGTGCATGGTATCTGTGGGTGTGATAGTGGTAGGCGTGCATGGTGTCTGTGGGTGTGCATAGTGGTGGATGTGCATAGTGGTGGGTGTGCATGGTGTCTGTGGGTGTGATAGTGGTGGGCGTGCATGGTGTCTGGGTGTGCATAGTGGGTGTGCATAGTAGGTGTGCATAGTAGGCATGCTGCACAGTGTCTGTGGAGGGTGTGCAGTGTTCACTGCAGTAGGTGTACACAGTGTGTGGGTACGCACAGTGGCTGTGGGATGCATAGTGGTGGATGTGCTACACAGCATCTGTGGGTGTGTGCAGTGGCCGTGAGTGTACATGGTGGTGGGCTTGCACAGTGACCTTGGGCATGCAGTGTCTTGTTCTGCTGCAGTGCTGGTGGCGTGGTGTCCACAGGTTGGCTGAGGACTGGCGGCTCCTGCGGTGAGTGTTGCTTCCTGCCCAATGGGACTTCTTTGGTCGTGCTGCTCCTCCCTTGGTTGAGGTTTTCTGGAGCCCTGAGCGCCCTCACCCTGAGCTCAGCACTGTTGTCTGTGAGAATAAGCCTTATCAGGCTCTGGTGACATATACTTCACCCTGCCTAGCCCCAGTAACTGTGTGGACTGGGCAGCAAGAAGATTGCCCTGAGTGGCGCCAGGGGCAGGACCCGTGGCTGGGGCTCCATGCTTGGGGTGTCTGGCTCTTTCATCATCACCTTCGCTGATTCACTCTCGCTCGCTCCCCTTTTCCTGTTTCTGGGGCTTTTCCTCGCCTGGCCACCTGATCAAACAATTGTTGTATGTGATGTGATTCACATAACAAGTGCTTCTGACTTAAGCCCAGAATCTGCCTGCCACTTGCCTCATCCCTGTGATCCCAACACTTCAAGAGGCCAAGTCTGGAGGATGGCTTGAGCCCAGGAATTTGAGGCTGCAGCGAGCTATGATCATGCCACTGCACTCCAGCCTGAGTGACAGAGCAAGACTCTTGTCTCTGAATAAAATATAAAATGAAAAACATAAAATAAAAACTAAAATAAATCCAGCAACTCAGAACCCTTGGGAAGTGTAGGCTGAGGTGCCCCAGTCAGAGGCGGAGGCAGCTACATTGAATTGTATTTTCTCCCCCCAAGATGGAGTCTCGCTCTGTCGCCCAGGCTGGAGTGCAATGGTGTGTTCTCAGCTTACTGCAACTTCTGCCTCCCGGGTTCAAGCGATTCTCATGCCTCAGTTTCCTGAGTAGCTGGAATTACAGGCGTGGGCCACCACACCTGGCTAATTTTTTTTATTTTAGTAGAGATGGGGTTTCGCCATGTTGGCCAGGCTGGTCTTGAACTGCTGACCTTGTGATCTGCCCACCTCGGTCTCTCAAAGTGCTGGAATTATAGGCATGAGCCACTGCACCCAGCCTGAATGGTATTTCTAAAACAGAAGAGGGACCTTGGCAAACAGTCTTACGTATAGAGTCAAGTGAGGACGTACACGCTCTCTGTGACCTCACAGACAACCTTGCTGCCCAGCACAGGGCTGCAGAGACCTGGCCTGACAGGCCTCCTCCACCGGGCGCATAGCACCCCCATTCGCCTTCTATGACTTCTTTGTGACAGTCCCACTGGGACATAGAGAGACCCCTACTGGCGCATATTTCTCTTCTATTTGGATCTGGTGACTTGGACACTAAAGAAAATGCTTAGTAAGCAACATACATTCACCGTTTGTAAACCGATTAGAAAATGCAGGCAGGCAGAAAGAAGAGTTCGTTGGGAGTCCTGCCACCTGGTGGAGATTTGCCCATAACCGCCTGGTGCCTGCGCCGCCTGCCGCAGCCTGCCTACCAGCTCAGCTCACCCTGCGGGCCCGCGGGCCCTGTGGCTCGGAAGTGAGATTTAAGAGTGAGGAAGTTTCCTCCCGAGCTTGTGAGGCACCGACTCCCTTCACGTGGTGGTCCCCTTTTAGTTGCTGCCGTGATGACTCAGGTATCTTGGACTCAACTGTGGCCACGACAGCGGATTCCCCAGACAGACACGTCCCTGTTGCCGCTTTGGTGTGGGATCGCAGCAGGGGCGTCACGGTTGCCGCTTTGGTGTGGGATCGCAGCAGGGGTGTCATGGTTGCCACTTTGCTATGGGATCGGAGCAGGGGCATGGCGGAGCTGGAGCGTTAGCCACGTCTTTTGCTGTTTCAGACTCGGGCCTGTAGTCGGGATCTGAGGATCTGAGGTCACAGGTCCTCCCTTTTCAAGCAGTGGCCAGCAGGAAAGGCAGACCCCTGCTCTGGGCAGACCATCTGCCTGGCCTTACGGCCCAGGTCTGCCGGCAAAGGGCCTTCCTCACCATGTCTCAGTTTCCCTTTGTGAATGAGGCTGATGGTGGGGCCCACCTCCTAAGGTGGCTGTCAGGATTCAGTGGGATCCCACATAGGGTGGATTGTGGTTCTCGGGGCATAGCAAATGTCACTGGATACAGCAGTTCCTCTGCCTTATCAGGGAAGGCTCTGTGTGGGCATGTCTACCTGGGTGTCGAGGGATGGGTAGGAGTTTCCTGGTGTGAGCAGGCAGGACGAGTGTATGTGTGTTGTAACCATACGGCCTGTTTGGACTCTGGAGCCTGTGAGTGCTGCCTCGGAGGAAGGTTACCGCCTCTCAGCCGAGATGGTCTCGGTGGCAAACAACAAAAGCCAATGATTTGCTCGTAACCAGTGTGTGGAGGTTGGGCCGGTTTTAGGCGAGGCGGACCCATTGGCAAGGCAGTGTCGCCAGGGATCCGGCCTCCCTGGCATTAGCCTCATCCTAGGACTAGCTCCCCTCGTGACCTCAAGACAGTAGCCACCAGTTCTAGTGGTGAGGAAGGTCTTTGCCCCATTAGAAGAGTGTCCTTGTTCAAGGGACTTTCCTACCCAAAGCTAAGAGTTGCTGTGACTACCTGAAGCAGGCCCCACGGCCCTCCCCAAGTGGGGGAGTGCTGGAGAGGGCTTCGGGCTCAGCCTAGATCACCTGCCCTGCCCTTGACAGCTGGACACCAGGGCTGCTGGGGAAGGCTCTGGAAAAACCTTCAGGGCAGTTTCCATCTGGCACCGAGTGCTGGCGCCACCTGCTGCCGGGTTCCGGTAGTGCGCTGTTTCTTCAGGTCATGCTCCCTAGGTATGTGGCTGTAAGATACCTCTTTTTTTCTTGTCAAACTTAGGACAGCAGAAACAAATCGACCCAGAAACATTCAAAGATTTCTACAACTGCTGGAAGGAGACGGAAGCAGAAGCGCAGGAGGTCAGTCTGCCGTGGCTGGTGATGGAACACCTGGATAAAAGCGAGTGTGTGTATAAGTTGTCCAGCTCCGTCAAGACGAACCTAGGCGTTGGCAAGATCGCCATGACCCAGAAGCGCCTGTTCCTCCTAACGGAAGGCAGGCCCGGCTACGTGGAGATTTCCACCTTCAGAAATATAGAGGTAAGCACAGCACAGCATGTGGCGCCGGATCCCACCGTGTTTAGGAGGCAGATGGCCAGAGCAGGCCCTGAGCTCTCTGCCAGCCATGCCAAGTACCAGCTGCAGCCCTTCTGCAAACCACCTGCCTTCCTGTCCCCCGGTTTGCTCATTTGTAAAGCAGGAATAAGGCTGACACCTTCTCAGTGGGTGGTGTGGATTGAACGATTACATATGGAACATGCTTAGAAGGGTAACTGATTTTCTAACTGACCGTCATCTGGGAGGCACGGAGTAAGAAGCAGGGCAGGCTCACATTCTAATTAGGGACAGCAGATGTGAGTTCATCCATGAGATATTCACTGAGAAACTGCCGTGTGCCAGCCATGGTGAGCTACAGTAGTTCACATTTTCTAGTCACGTTCGTACCTGGTTCAAATAAAACATAACACATTTATTTTATAACAATTAAAAAATCTTAGAACAGTTTTTGTTTTTGTTTTTTGAGACAGGGTCTCACTCTGTTGCCTAGGCTGGAGTGCAGTGGAATGATCTCGGCTCACTGCAACCTCTGCCTCCAGGGTTCAAGCAATTCCCTCAGCCTCCCTAGTGGCTGGGATTACAAGCGCCTGCCACCACGCTGGACTAATTTTTGTATTTAGTAGAGAGGGGGTTTCACCATCTTGGTCAGGCTGGTCTTGAACTCCTGACCTCATGATCCGCCTGTCTCGGCCTTCCTAAATGCTGGGATTACAGATGTGAGCCACAATGCTCAGCCTCTTCAAATGGTGTTAACATTATACTTTAAAAGTAGTCGTTTTCCCTGGCGAGGAACTCTGAACTTCATCCTGATTCACCTTACGCCTTATAGTTGTTTTCCCAAATTTAAGGGGACTGTAAGAAGCGTGTCAGACACACAGATGTTTTTTTTTGTTTGTTTTGAGATGGAGTTTCACTCCTGTTGCCCAGGCTGGGGTGCAATGGCTTGAACTTGGCTCACTACAACCTCTGCCTCCTGGGTTCAAGTGAGTCTGCTGCCTCAGCCTCCTGAGTAGGTGGGATTACAGACATGCGCCACAATGCCCAGCTAATTTTGTATTTTTAGTAGAGACAGGGTTTCTCCATGTTGGTCAGGCTGGTCTTGAACTCCTGACCTCAGGTGATCCCCCCTTGGCCTTCCAAAGTGTTGGGATTACAGGCGTGAGCCACCGTGCCTGGCCAGATATGTGAATGTTTTATGTGATCAGCTGCTGAGTAGTCGCAGAAGCTGGAAAGGCAGCCAAGCCACAGCCGCAGCCACGGTAAGTGCTCAGCCAGTAGATCTACTTCTGGCTGTTTTCTTTCAGTTTATTTTTTTTCCACAACTGCTTTGCCAGACATCCTTCTAGAATTCCAAAGAAAGGTAAATAAGTACCAGGAAAGGGAGATAGAAGTTAAAAAAGAGAGTAAGAAATATTTCAGGATGTGAAAGAATGCACCGCTTTCAGACATGGTGGACGAGCCCAGCTGTGTGGAAGGGTGCACCTGTTCCCACGGGAACGCCGTCCCTTGCCCAGGGCCCTGCCCTCCACATGCTGGCAGGGTGCATGCCTGCAGCCCATCTGCCCTCATTCCAGAGCCTGCTCTGCTGCTTTCTGGTTAATCCACGTGTTCTCTGAGTGTGATGTTCTAACTCTTTTCTGCCTCTGCAGGAGGTCAGGAACACCACCATCGCCTTTCTGCTGCGGAGAATACCCACCCTAAAAATCAAAGTGGCATCCAAGAAAGAAGTCTTTGAGGCCAACCTGAAAACTGAGTGTGACCTCTGGCACCTGATGGTGAAGGAGATGTGGGCTGGGAAGAAGCTGGCCGATGACCACAAGGTGGGAGACACGGGTCCTCTCTTCCCTTTGCTGTGGCTGCCTCAGGGCCTCTCGCCACTGTGGGTCCTCTGGGTGCTCAGCTATGAAAGCTTGGGCTCAGGTCCAGGTGTCCTAAGCAGAGGAAGTTTGTCGGACACCATCTTGGCAGAAGCACCAAACGTGTCGTGGCCTGTGTGGCCCAGCAAGAGGCCTCTTGGCACCAGGGAAGGATGTGATGAGAAAACGCAGGGCGGGCTGGGCAGGTGTGGGCGCTCCACTGCCCACTCCAGGCTGGTGCCGTCCCCAAGAGTGGGGCCGGAGGCTGGACAGTGCTGGTGCCGTCCACACCCGCAGGCCGGAGTTGGGTGTTTTGGGCTCCCCTGCTCTGAGCAACTCTTCACGGTCACGGGATTTGGAATTTGGCAGGTGTAGTACTGCATTCCTCCCACAGGGTTAAGATGATTTTCTAGGGATTGTTGTACTTTCGTTTACTTTGGGCCAAATTGATGGCTTTGATATCAAATGACAATTGCATATTAATGAAGGGAACCATGGGCGGTGGCGTGTGGGGGCATCTGTGCTGCTCAGTGGCGGGACGAGACGGAAGATGCCTTAGAAAACGGCAAAGACTCTGGGTGGGGTATTCATACCAAGGGCACAGTTCATCTGGTTATGAAGAGGGTACAGCCCCGCTCATCCTCAGAACTGCCGGGGATGATGGCACCCCACAGTGGCGGTGCTGGGGAGAACAGACCGGGCTGCTGTTACTACAGATAGTTTCCCGTCACAGGGCGGAGGGCGACTGGGTCCCTTCTGAGATTCCAGTGCCCTGTGGCTTCTGGCCCAGCCATCTGATGCTACACCCACTGGCTTATGTAACATAAACCAGCATAGTCAAACCAAAGCCCTGGGCCCCTGGACTGTCTTTGTAAGTAGAGTTTTACGGGAACACAGTCCTGCCTGTGTGTTTATGAAATGTCCCTGGGTGTTCCCATGCTGCAGGGGCAGGCCGCCGAGATTGCCCAGAAGGCCTGAAATGCCTCCTCCTAGCCCCTTCTAGAAAACACAGGCTGACACTGGTATAAACACTGGTATAAACAATCAGTGTTTGTCTTAACTAAGAGAAAAAATATATGACATAAAATTCAAATCCATCAGCGATTTAAACTTCATGTTGCTTTGAAAAAATGCATTTTGGAAGAATTGTTCTATGTGATGGGACAAGCTCTCCAGTGAACGGATCTTAGTGATTCTTGCTGTTCTGAAACACACATGTTTCTGTCCTAGGACCCGCAGTACGTCCAGCAGGCGCTCACCAATGTCTTGCTGATGGATGCCGTCGTGGGCACGCTGCAGTCACCGGGCGCCATCTACGCTGCCTCCAAGTTATCTTACTTTGATAAGATGAGGCACGAGTGTAAGATAAGCGTCCTGATGACGCCTTCAGATGTTATCTGGTCGCTGTTTGTGTTGTAGAACCGAGCCCAGATCTCTGCTCTGTCTTTTATTCTCGTAATTCACTTTCGAATCGCGCACGTTGTCCAGCAGCTTCCTTCCTTTGCTGCATGGCGCACCTCGGAGCCCCTCGCTCATCCATCCAGCTGGGGCACCTCGTGGCTTTCGCTCCAGGGCACACTGCAAGCATTTGTGGTGGTTCTTAGTTGCAAACAACAGCCTTTCCCCTGGCCGGCTGAAGCAGAGCAGAGACCAGTGGGAGGCTGTGGAGCGGCTCTTGGATTCTCTGATGGGGGAGAGTGGTGTCTGGGGCTTGCAGTTAGGACAACACCCGCTGAGAAGCCAGGAACCTCTGCACAGCTAGCCTGTGGACGGATGGGGTTCACCGCTGCGTGGGTGAGGAGAGGCCCCGAACGTCAGGATCCACCTTTTTCTTGATTGGGTCAGCTTCCCCAGACAGGAATCCGCGGCCCGTCCTGTAGATTTGCGTCTGGTGCTCGCATATTGGATGCCGTAGAGGCTGGTGCTGGACTCGTGTTTTTTATTGTGAGAGGTGCTTTTCAAGCCTAGGGTTTTCTGGTCCTTGTGTGGCCGAGCGATAGACATTGTTTGGGTGAAGGGCATTTGGTCTGTCCCTTCCTCAGTAAGTGGGCATGGGCATGGCTTCTGCTTCGTGGCTGTGGTGACCAGTGCTGCTGTGGGCATTCATGGCAGGCTCTGCTGTGGACATTTGTGTTCATTTCCCCTGGGCATAGATCTGCCGACTCTGGCTTTTTCAAAGGTTGCCCTGGAATTAGGAACAAACCCCACTTACATGTTTATTTGCTTGGGCACAGTTTGCTTTCTTTGTGGCATCTGTCACCAACTGCAGGGCCTCTGCCACTTTCTGGGCACAGAATCCCTCTCCCAGGTGACCCAGGGGGCCCTTGAGCTGTGGCAGCAGTCGGCAGCCTCAGGCACCTGTGTCCCCACGAGGCCGGCTGAGTGGCTTGAAGGGGCTTTTGTCTGACAGACCTAGAAACAGACCTTGATTGCTCTTTTTTTTTTTTTCCTTGGGAGCAAAAATCAAACAAATCCCCTACTTCAGCTGTTGATCTCATTCCAAACTCATGACTAATCTGTGTCGAGCGTTTTATAGGAAAGCCTTCTAACGCCTCTGTCCGCAGCGCGTGACGGCAGAGGAGGAGCCCCCATACTGGTGTCACTCGGTGTTGTGCGCTGGTTCCTGCTCCCTTGTTACAAATCCGGAAACATTTTCGTGTGCGTAAAGTGTGATGAGGTCACACTCATGGCACATGAGCCTGAGCTTAATTTAATAGCTTATGGTCAACTCATGATGGAAGGTCTCAGACTGTACGGAATGAAATAATAACCAAAGATGCCATAATCCGAGGCAGCAGCTGAAGAGGCATTGGGTGTGGCCAGCTGGCTTTCCCACAGCCCGGTGCAGCCCGCCAGCCCCTCGCGGAGTCCTGGCTGACTTCCTGCTGACGGTGTGATCTTCAGTAGATCACCACGTCAATGCGTGTCAGTTTCTTCATCTTTCTTTTCTGAAAATGGGGATAATGGGGCCAATCTCACTGGGCTGTCATGAGTAATAAAATGATGGAAAAGAAGCACTTAAGGGGCAGGCCCTGGACGGCAGGGACTGAAGGAGTCCCAGATGTGGGAGACTGAGGCGCCCCAGGGGCCCGGGCAGGAAGGAGGGTCTGTGTCAGAGCAGGCTGGCCCCAGGGGCCTGGGCAGGAGGCTGCTCTAGGGTTTGCCTGGAAACGTGGGTTGGACTGGATTGGATAGCAAGAGAGGAGTGTTAGGACATCCTGGGGAGCAGTGGTTTTGCACCTACTCCCTGTGGAGAGGCATCTGGCAGCGCCTGGGGAGACCTGTGGTGGTGCGTGAGGTGCTACTGGCATCTAGTGAGGCTCCATGTCCCACTGTGCACAGGACGCCGGGCATTCGCCCACAGCCGGGCTCATCCGGCCCAACACGACCCGGTTCTAGGTTGGGAAGCTGCGCGCATGGGTTAGTGTCTGGGTTTCATCTTGGGAAGGCTTCGTTATCGAGGGAAATATGATGTCTCTGCTTTGCTGGGTGCTGTGTGATGTTTGGGTATGGCCAGAGAGCAGATCGGACGGCTCAGGAGCAGAGAAGAAGGCTGTGTTTAAAGAAAGGCGGTGCGAGGCACAGGGCCATGGAGACGTGGTGTGGACACAGGTGGGGGATGCTCCTGGCCAATCGCTCGCAGGGCAGCCAGGAAAGGAGGCTGAGGATGCGTGGCTTTCCTTTAGTGCCCGGGGCCCAAGAGAGCTTGCCTTCACAAATGACGTTTTGCCCGCAGGCTGGTTTTCTGCAGAAGTCAGAGCGCATGGGGCTGTGGGATTGCGTGTTTCCTCAGGCCTGCAGCAGTGACGCTCCACACATCTTGTCTTTCAGTGCCCATGGCGCTTCCGAAGACAACCTTGGAAACTCTGAAGCACAAAATCAACCCCTCAGCGGGCGAGACGCTCCCACAAGCGGTGGACGTGCTGCTGTACACTCCCGGTGAGGCCCCTCTCCTGCCCTTCGCTGCTCGCTTTCAGACGACCTGATGAGCTCAGGTTTGGGTTCAGGGTCAGCCCTGAAGTGAAAGGGGAGCCAGTGTCATGGGGTGAGTGGGGACAAGGAGCCTGCTGCTTTCTGAAGTAAAGTGCTGAGTGACAGGTGTGTGCAGCTGGCGTGACCGCTCCATGGACTCAGCCTCACGATGCCCAGAGCCAGGAGCCGTGGAGGATGGAAACCGGGCCAGCACTTGAGCTCCCCCCAGTGCCACCATCCCTCACCTTCTAGAGCAGTCGAAGGTCATACTAGCATTTTCTTTTTTGAGATGGAGTCTCACTCTCTCTCGCCCAGGCTAGAGTGTAGTGGTGCAATCTCGGGTCACTGCAACCTCCAACTCCTAGATTCAGGCGATTCTCCAGCCTCAGCCTCCAGAGTAGCTGGGGCCCGGGGTGCCTGTCACCATGCCGGGCCAACACACTAGCACTTTCTAAAGCACTCCTGCCCACGTGTTTCCCCAGAAGCCCTTAATCGCATCCTCTTGTCAGTGTGGTAAGGTGATGGTGCCTCTGATGTGTGCTGTCCTAGAAACTGACCGACGTGGAGCCTGCGTGGCCTGAGTGCCTGCTGCTGGTGCCTCTTCTCCGCTGGGTGCAGCTGCACCTGCCTCCTGTGCTCGGCTCTCCTGGGACCCTGCGTGCCGCAGCAGGGTGGTGGCAGGAGAAGGAAGTGGGCGTGGCCAAGGGTCTCCATAGAAACAAAGATGGCTGTCATGTTGCATGTTTGAACTGTGGGAAACACTTATTTAATTCTGGCTTATGGAGAGTGCAGCAGGGAAGCTTATGCTGAGGGTTCATGGTGTGGAAAACAAAGGAGCACAGTTCTAGGCAGAAAAGATTTTTATTTGTTGTTGATTTTTAATTTTTTTGAGTCAGGGTCTTGCTCTGTTGCCCAGGCTGGAGTGTAGTTGTGCAATCACAGCTCACTGCAGCCTCGACCTCCTGGGTTCAAGTGATCTTCTTGCCTCAGCCTCATGGGTAACTGGAACCACAGGCGTGTGTCATCAGACACAGGCACGTGCCACCAAACCCAGGTGATTTTTAAAAATCTGTGTAGAGATGGGGTTTCGCTATGTTGCCTAGGCTGGTCTCGAACTCCTGGGCTGAAGCGATAACCCCTCACCTGGCCTCCTCAAGTGCTGGGATTATGAGTGTGAGCCGCTGCACCCAGCCCAGGAGGGATTTTTAAAATCGTCACTTTGTTGGTTGCATCTGCATCTGCAGGAGTTGCCCGTAGGCATCATGGATGCGCCATTACCACGTCTTACAGGCGGTGTCCACTTCACACAGTGCCTGGCCATTCCCACACGGAGCTCCCACTTCAGATGGGCAGAGAGGCTGTGTGTGAAGCGATTTCCCTGTAAGAGAGTTTTCTTTCTTTACGGCCTGCCAAGAAACCCAGGAACGCGACAGACCCTGTCTGAGCGGGCATGCAGCATCCTCAGGGCTGTCTGCGTGAGGCTTACTGGCTAAGCTGGCTCTGTGCCAACTTCGCTGGAGATAAATCTGCAGACCAAGACACTCTGGCTGTGGCATCTGAATCCACGGTACTTTTAGGTCCCGGTTGGTTTCCCTGAAATGAAACTGACTTTGGACTTCCCATTGTGATGGGCAAGGGGTTCAGGTGGCTGCCCCTCCGGGAGCATCTCTAAGGCCCGCAGAGATGAACATGGAAGCCGCCTTTTCCTGTGGCTGCTGATTCTGGAAGGGGTGGCCGAGAAGCCGGTAGCCAAGCAGGGATTTGCAAGCCTTGTGGGGCTATAGGGACAAGTGGTGGGGTCAGGCCCCCTCATGAAGGGGGAGTCCTGTTACTCCCTTTAGCTTGGGGCTGGGTATCCACCAGGTTTGGAGGAGTTAGGTTCGGAGGAGTTCAGCCACAGGCCAGCCCAGGCTCTGCTTGGGGGAGCGTGCCTCTCAGAGAGGGCAGTGTCTCATCCATGGGGGCAACAGACCACTGGAATCGCACCCCAGAAAGACCGGGAGGCCTGCTTTCCCGACTCAGGACAGAGGCGGCACTGCAGGGCTGGGGGATGCTCGAATATCCTCAGGGGAAAGGTGAAATCTCACCCCTTCGGACCGCACGGGGAGCAGGCCCCAGGGGGCTGAAACCTAAACGTGGATGGTAACGGCAGGCAGACGTGAATAATGAAAGCAAGCACCCTTCTAGCTGATAGAGCAGAAGAACATTTTCATGACTTTATGGTAAGGAAACAATTCATAAATTGTGTATGAAAATATCAACCATAAAGGAAAAGAATAGTGAATTAGACCATATTAAAAGCAATGATTTTATTATTTTTATTTTTTCTGAGACAGGGTCTGGCTCTGTCTCCCAGGTTGGGGTGCGGTGGTGCGATCACGGATCACTGCAGCCTCTGCCTCCTGGGCTCTATTGATCCTCTCCCGTCAGCCTCCTGATTAGCTACACTACAGGTGTACACCACTATGCCCAGCCAACTGTTGTATGTATTTTTTTTGTAGAGATGGGGTTTTGCCATGTTGCTAAGGCTGGTCTTGAACTCCTGAGCTCGAGCAGTCTGCCTGCCTGGTGTCCAGAGTGCTGGGTTACAGGTGTGAGCCACCACAACTGGCCAAAAGCAATGACTTTAGAAAGACGACACTTTTTTTCCACCTTTCCAGTGAGCTGGTTTAATTCATGGGGATACAGAATTGAGGGTGCCTCCACCCAAGAGCACCCTCTGGCCGGCTTCTGGGCTGGTTTCCCTTAAATTCACAGCTCAGGTGGGAAGGATGGGGTGAGAAACCACTGAAGACATGACGTGCCACTGTCAGACTTTTTTTTTTTTTTTTTAATAAAAATTTATTCTTGAATGTGCAGCAGGGTAACGCTCAGTCTAGCTGAAGGTGGTGAGAGCTTCCTGGCAGGGTTGCAGGTGTTGAAACAGGAGTGGAGGCCGGGCTGCCGCCACTCAGGCACAGGGAGCTGCGTGCCTTGCGCCAGGGGTCTTAGTTCCACCTGTGGCCGGGCCTCCCCGCGGCCTGTGCCTTCCGCCCCTGGAGGTTCTGGTTCGCTTTGTTTTCTGCCAGAAGCTCCTCATTTCTGTCCCTCTCCTGGGCCTGCTTCTTGTGCTGTCGTGGAGGCTTCATGCCATCTTCACGGCTGGACACGGCATTTACGGCCCCTTCCCCAGACCCTGCCATCCCAGTTTCTAACTTACACTTTCACTCTCTTCAAAAGCCACTTTGAAGCAAGTGAAAGTGTAAGTTACAAACTGGGAAGGCTCTTGAAAGTGGGTGCTGCCAAAATCGTTGCTTTTAATGCAGTCAGATTCACCAGTCTTTCCTTCATGGTTAGTATTTTTATATGTAATTTATGAATACAGCACCATGGAGTCAGTTAGGGGCTCGATCCAGAACACCGGAACAGCTGGCTGGATGAGCCTGTGGTCCCAGTGAGGCGGAAGTGTGACTGGAGCCCTGGAGTCGGAGCCCGCGGTTTGCTGAGATCGTGTCTGTGAACGCTGCTGCGCTCCCGCCTGGGCGGCATGGCAGGACCTTATCTCTAAAAAAATCTATATATAATAACAGCAGGACAGCTGCAAACTAAGGAGAGTGGGACACAGACACTTCCCACAAGAGGGCATGGGAATGACCAGCTAAAGGCAGCAGGTTAGAGAAATGCGATTAAATGATGAGCAATTAGAGAAATGCGATTAAACCACAGTTTGAAAGCGCCACACCCTTAGAATGGCCAAAATTAAAAAGCTGTTGTTGGGGAAGACGTGGAGCCGCTGCTCATGAGATGGCCCCTGCCGCCGTCTCCAGCTGCTCTCCCTCCCTCCCTCCTTCCCTTTCTCCCTCCCTCCCTCCCTCCTTC